AAAGCGAGAAATTTTTCAAATTTTATTTATTGACGTATATATATACCTACGTTTCTTTTGTCAATACTTTTTTTCAGTTATCAAACTATGAATAATTTATTGTCAACTATCCGAAACATCTTTATAGCTATTCTGCGTATGTTCTTGACAAGGTTGAATAATTATTTAAATTAATTAATTTACAGTTGTTTATTGAAATACATGTATTATAAAATATAAAACACGCTATTAATGCAGTACCTTATCCATACCGGTTGAGAATATATTAACTATTGTATCAACAATTGTTTTTGTGTCAAGTTTGAATATATTAATTAGTGGCAGCCCAAGTCTTGAAATGATATGATAAATATTTATGTTTACTGAAGTTAACAAAGATAATGAGTTTCTTTCTACTTAAATTTTTAAGGTATAAGTAAATCCATATGTCCGTCTGGTGACGGATTAAGAATACGGAGTGTCACCACCACTATTTATCCCTATTCAAATATTCTGCAGGACAAGAGTATTGCAAAGAGAAGGAGTTGATACAAACCATATACCAACAGTGGACTATTAAAGACTGTTGATGATGAAATCCATATTAAGTTTATTTATTTTGTGGTTAAAACCTCGGTCTTTTAGAATTAAATCGAGTTGTGTATTAGAATTGTCTTTTCCTTTTTTTAAACCAAGAGTTTTCATTAAAATAGTTTGCTACCTTTTAAATTTTCGATTTTTGTGATAAACATATAACTTTAACTATTGGAATTAACAGGATCAATAGGTCTGAAGTTTCGACCAGGTTGCACTGAGCGTGGTCACCGGCTGACTAAACAGATTTGCAATTCCCACTGATATATATATTCATTCGTTATTGATCTGTGGATGATATTTAGGTAAAATAAAAAAGAGAACGCGAATGTTACAGAAATCTAAACTGTATAAAGTTTGCATTCATATTCTTTGCAAGCTATTGGTAGGACCAGCCAACACCAATTTGCACTCAGTAAGATAGGTTAAACATATTTTGAACATATTTATTTCCATTATAAACCCTTCATTTTATTTAGAAATGTCTATGTCATATAAACCTATTTGTATATATATAGAAGCTTGTCTTTATTTATTTTTAAGGAAACTGATTTTTATAAAATATGCATCAGGTGACAAGACATCAGTTTTTAACATCATCATCATCATCATCAACAGCCTTTACTAGTCCACTGCTGGACATAGGCCTCTCCTTAGGAAGGAGGTTTTGGCCAACAATACCACGCTGGCCAGACGGGTTGGTTGGCCATTTTTTTAACGTTCGGTACATATTTTCTTAGGCGTAGATAGAGTCGTGATTAAACCTCTATTTCTGTTGTGTCAAAATACATTTTAATTATTTATTTATTGCATTTATTTATACCGCTTATCTAATCAAGCAGTATAAATGCCAAGGTCATACTCTCTTCTTTACTCTTGCAGTGATATAACGAGCTAGAATCGAGATGTCTTACATTAATATTGAAAACATTGTGAAATCTATACCAAAAGGTATTATAATAGCAAATAGATACTTCATAACGGAGCGTGAACGATTTCTGCAAATGACTTTTATAAAGGAGTCATCATATAGAGCGATAGATTAGCTAGAGCGATAGAGAGATATATTGTTTTTGTTTGAATTTGAATAAAAAGTGTTTTAGATAGACATATTCTCGAGAAAGCGTTAAAGCTATTTATCGAAAAATGCTAGTAGATAATTTTGACACATAATATTTTATCAGTAATAATAACTCAACACATCTCAGACAAGGCCGTCTGATCCCAAATTAGGCAGAACATTTAATATAGTAACCAGACTACTGGGAAACCACTAATATATTTCTTAAAACATACATAATTGTAATTGTCCAAATCATGAGCATTATGCTCATGATTTGGACATCAAACTTCTGGCTCTACATAATCATCAGAATCATTAACCACTAAACCAAATACTAAAGCAATGATGCTGTTTCTGCTGTAAATTCTGACCTTCGTAAGCTTCATCTAATATCTATAACGAAGTACTTACTAGGGAGTATTAACCTCATCTATTTGAGCGCGTGGGAGGTAGGGTGCGTCGCACTCAGCCATACACGACCTCTCGGGGTCAAGGATGTTGGAAATTAACGTACAAGTTTTCCTCTACGGTATTTTGCGTTAGAGAATTGCCTTGTCACGATTTGGTGTTCGCTTTTGATACATGGTTTCCTGTGAGAGGTGAAATTACTGTTTTATTTCACAAACTATCTGGCTATGGCTGTTTTGCATTAATCTGTGTCTATAATTGAAGAAAAGTCTATGGTATTTTCGGATAAAGAAGCTCTTTAGTGGTGAGACAAGTATTTAACGTTGATTTAATAATTTTGAGTTAGTCGACCAAAAAATAAAAATGTCTTTTTATAATTATGATATAGGCTGGTAGGCTGTCTATAGTCAAGAAGTTTCGAGTTTATGCTTTATTATTGTTTTCTATTGTCTGTAAATTGCATTTGATATAAAGGACAACCTGTATCTGTGAATTTACTACTACTAATTAATATAGGCTGCATTAAGACTGTAAGAGCCGACTAAGAGAGCAAAATACGCAGGACAACAGGCAGATTGTTGATGTAGGGAATAAGGCAGCTTGATTGCATTAAGAAGCAATCGGATAGGGCCTGATTAGGCATGGTGTCAATTCCATATCCGACCTGAAATATCATGGCCGTCGGGGTGGTTTTTAGTGGAATCACCAAATACTCTTGGCTCCCGAGTCCCCGAGGAGCAGGAGATCCGACGAGATTTTCCACCCCACCAAGAAAAAAAAGTGTACTATGAAATAAAAAAGTACAATCTCTGCAAGAAACTCGTAAGAGCCGTGAAAGTAAATCATTCATCTTCGGGAACAATCAGTAGTGCTATTCACACATTCACAGTAGTGAAATTCGACGCTGTCACAGTGCAGTAGCGTCGAATTTCAAACGAACTTAGTTTCAAGTTCGACTCTGTGGCAGCGCAGTACGCAAAGCTGTTTTCTTAGAGGATAGCACTGCACATCACAGGGATACCTTACGCCGTTCTCTGTAATCGTGTAGCTATGCAATGATCTTATCTAGATTCCTAACAAAGTAGAGGAATACAAGATTTCATAATAAACAGTACGGTAGCCCATAAAATACAATGAAACAAATATTAATTTTACTACCTAAAATATTACAAAGTAAAATATCCATTCCATATTACAAAGTAATCATTGATAAATTCTATACTTTATCAATAATTACTTAAAACAAATAAAAATCACCTGTATGTATAACCTATCCATCACTATCAGAATGCATGGCATTTAGCTTACGTCATAGATAGTGGTGTGACCTTAAGATAATTATCGGTCGACGCCTCGTCTCCCGCACGATAAGTTATTACAACAAAGCAAGGACATCACTGCACACAGCCTATAAATAACATTTCTGTTTAATTATCTTCTTCTACTGATTGTCATTTATCGTTATTATTGCTAAACTTTTCTCCACCATTTTAACTTTATAAAATATTTAAATATGGTGTGCGGTTGTCACATGCGTAATTAATATTAGATCGATTTCCATATTTACTTGAATATTTCTGAAACCGCAGAAGCAGAATTTCTGTAACAGATGTCTGGGGTAAGCCAACGATTATTACGTAATATGGAAAATATCTGTCAAAGTATCTCACTATCTTTCTGCACCATTTTAAATGGTTGTGCAAGAATATCAAACTTCAACTCTAGACTTGTAAATATATCTAACTAGTTCCTGAATAAGTTTTTTTTAGATTTGGCAATCATCACATTTTCTAATAACAAATAAATATATTAATTATTTAAATTATAATATTGTGTTAATGTTTCCGGTCATAAAACAATGATTTCCGAGGTACTTTAAAAGCTATCACGTTGAATAGATAATCCATAAATAGGTGGCAGACAAAGCAACTCGTCTGGCGTATCGTACAAATGACCGCTCGGCCTTGTCTAGGCCATGATGACGCCATCTTGCGTGCGGATGAACTCCTTTTATTAAGACACAAAATTTATTGTCGTCTCGCTTTAAATCTAAGTTTCACTAATATAAGAAAGAGACGACACAGTTTTTGTGGCTGAATTTAATTTTAGAAAAATGTAGACGTCAATTTTTGTGTCGAGTTAGAGTAATGAACCAGTATGAAAATACGACCAATTAGATTAAAAATACTACTAATAAAGGATGAGTAAAGCTTGAGTAACATAACAAAACGCACGACCAATAACTGTTTCCATACAATGGCAACAGTAATGCTGCAACTAGACATGTTTTACATTGTGTAATTGGCAGTTAATTACGTTGCCAAGGCAACTGCAACGCTGTCTGAGTGTCTGATAGCGATAACTCACAAATGCCGGGGGGCAAGGGACTTTATTGGACTTTAATTGGTGCGCCAGACAGCACTGACTGATATCTATCCCTGTTCTCAATTTAAATTGAAATCTTTTAACGCTTAATACATTATTTATTTTATTACATTATGATGTCAAATGGATACTATACTCTGCACTGTAAGGTTTACTTTCGTTTCAACGGTAAATTGTGACTCACGCTAGTCTGTATTGTCCTCGTATGCAATAGGTTCCGAAGTTAACTACTCAGATCTGTACATAATACACTCATCTCGACCATTATCAAGTGTGTTGGCGCGACTCATTATTGGGAGCGGCGGACCAGTCCCGCGCGCGAAAGGCGAAATGCTGGCGGCCGGCCGGTCGCTACAACCGGCTCCGTGAAGGCCGCACGACGCCCCTCCCCACTCCCTTCTTTGAATTATGCTAGTGACTGGTTTTATCGATGGCTGTGTAATCTGCGCAACTTCGTCAATTTTCTGATAGCGATAAAATACATTTCAATATGTGTTTCATGTTTTCTATATGACCTAGAATCCGTTAAGACTAACTCAATAGTTAATTCGAATCTTTGTTGTGTAGTATAATGTGGTCATCATTATCAAAAAAGTCAAGTCGAAACTTCAATTCATTCAACATGTAAGTATGACGCGTATCGTCGCTATCGCGACCGAGCTTCGCCCTCGTAAACAGAATGCCAATGACACGAGGGGTCGAGTGGCGTATCGATAATAACACCACATATTTATCGCGCAGCACTATGCGCGTTCGCAAGGCCGCGCGACGCGTCTACGTCTCGTACATGTACACAAACACTGTTTCGAAACGTCGACGACACTCCACACTTCATTCCAAATTCGAACAGAGTTGCACGCGATCATTGTGTTGGTCTCATTGTATTATTTTTTTATTCATAATATTCATGCGCCGATAAAGCGAGTTTCTTATTGATTTTATTTTGGTCAGACTTGGGTTAGTGTTAGAAATTAAAATTTTATTAGGAGTCGTGTCTTTAAGACAAGTAGCATATTTAATGGATATTTTTTTCTTTTCAGGTTACCCAAGATGCGGGTTTTATCATCTAGCCGTAGACCTGCCCATTCACATGTGACTCAAAAGCAGACATCCTGGTCTTTTAACTCGCATTCTGCTAAGAAAATATGTAAATGGAATACGGACATCGCAAGACTGAATCATAAAGTTGCCTTAACAATGAGAGGCGACGCTAGATGATGCTACGTTTAGAAATTTTTACACATTAAAAACATTATGCGGAAAAGACATAATAGTTTTTAAAAAAATTCGAACAGTATTTTTGTAAAAATTTACTATAGACGAATATATATTTGTGTGTAGTGCTTTATTAGTGTAGTGAAGTAAACAAACGGTACAAAATTATCGATGCTGAGTGGTGATGTGTGAGTGTTGATTGGTGATGAATACCGCGATGACCAGTGAAGGTGAGGCGGTGAAGGTGGAGGGGGGACACGTGTCGGTCACCACTATCAGCATGTCAGGATCAGAGATAAGTAATGGTAAGGATTTAATTTATCTCTCTGATTAATGTAAAACAATATTTCGGGTTTACTGAATAAGTCCTCGTCGATGACAATCAATCTGTGGTTATGCTCTTGAAATCTATCTGTTGTTTCCTTTCTATTAAAACAATTGTCACATGTTATCTTATGGCATAAATATTATCTTGTAAACATAATGAAGTAAGAGGGTATTATTAACTAATTAGAATCTAATTAGCAGCGTATTATACTTTCGTAGTACATTTAGTAGGTATGCCGTAGGTAAATAATTTTCAAGGTAACGAACATACATTATTTAACTAAAATACACTTAAAGGTACATAAAAACACAGACTTTCTTTATATCTGTCGCGAACACCAAAAAATGAACCCAATGGCGAATCAGACTAAATTACTGTAAGAATTACTGTCAAGTCAAATAATTAAACTATTAAACGTCAAATATGTATATTTTGTAGAAACTTGTGAAATATTGAGTTTTGAAGTTATATGTAGCTATTGATTGATAAACTTAAAATAATAAGTAAATGGTTATTTACTTATTATTTTAAGTTAACAAATAAAAAATACTTAATGAGAAAATTAGTAGTAGAAGTATTAGTTTAAAACAAAAAGTTATTGAAATAAATAGTACAGGTGCGAAAAACTGGTATATCGAAAAAAAAAACAGGGAGTTTTATGGATACCTAACCAAAAAATAGGAGGTTGTAGTGTGATATAAAACGAAGAAAATAAGAGTAGCTGAACTCAAATTCGTTAAAAACTTTACGAGAAATTACGCTGTTTTTCTCACGATTTTTCGCATTTCATTTTCTCAGCTTGTGTGACTTGTAGGAAATCCGTTCGGGGCTTAAATTATAGCTTTTAATACTGCTTTTTGTAAAGTTATACGGAAACTTAATATTATTTTGCGACTTATTATTATTTTTATGACAGCTTATTATGAGCTTTATTTGTTTCTTTTGTTTTATTTTCCTAAATTAAATTCATAGTCAAATTCTGAGATTTTACTGTCCGGTTTTCGTTTCATCACATTTATTCTTAAATTACGTAACTAAGGTCAGTTTTATTTATATTTTTAGATAGGTAAGTAGGGATGTGTAGATGTTTTGTAAATAATTTGCAGCCAACATTTACTAGCCTTTTTTTAGAGAAAACATACATTTTTGTAGACTGTACTTTCTATATGGATACATATTATTATGATTTTATAATTTACTATTAAGAACCGGCATGTAAACTCTTTAAGACTGCGAACAAACAAATTATAATCCAAGCAAATTTTTTTTAATAAATTTTTATAGGAATTAAACTGGGTTTTCTAAGAAAAACATAAAAATCAACTTTTGGATAGGTAACACAATATGGGGTCAAACAAAGAACAGCATTTGTGCAAGTATACATTGTAGAATAAGTCATCCTCTGTGGCATTGACATTCTACCAGCAATAAAATTCGAATTTCATTGGATTTACTAACTGTGACAGCTGATCGATCAGGTTATTAAAAGTGTTAAGTTGGGATAGTTATATTGTAAGTGACATAATTTGAAATGAATTGTTATATGTATGTGTCGTAACTTATAATATTATTTTGCGACTAAATTTTTTACACAAAGAAAAAATTTAAACTCTATAATTTAAGCTCCGAACGGAATTCCTACCAGTTATACAAGCTGAGAAAATGAACGGCAAAAATCGTGATTTTTTCGAGATAATAGTGTGTTTTCTCGTAAAGCTTCACTAACTCCCATTTTCTTAGATTTTTCTTACACTACAACCTATTTTTAGATTTGCCATTCAAAATATTTTTCTTATTTTTTTTCCGAGAAACCTCGATCTTTCCTTTTTTTTATAACTTTCTACCGATTTTACAAAAGTTATTTTTTTAACTAGTCCTTTTACCTGTATTATCCAGTTTTTTTTTTTAAATATGAAGGTATCTTTATTTTATTTTTCGCCGCACATTCTACACTGACAGTCAATTGCCATAGAACATAACTCTATAGTTGGCAGAAACTCTTAAATTCTTTGTTCTTTTTCAAAATCATATCTCGTTCAAAAATGAATTACAGTAATATTGTTAGCATTACGAATTCTTCATTCTTACAGACTGAGATTAAAAGTAATTTAAGAAAGGAGTTATCTAAGGAGGAGGATTCTTGATGGCAAACACTGCTATGTTTCTAATATATTTTAATAGTTTAAATACTCTACAGCCTCTAAACAATAAGATTCTTAGCTAGAACAAAATTTTGTTGCGATTTTCCGGTACATTCCCAAAAAATGTAGATGGACTTTTTTTAAAGTTTGACCCAAAAATGTTTCAAAAAGACCTATTATTAAAGTGTACAACAGGTGGCTTACCTCAATATGACAATTGAGTAAATAGTAACTCTTGTCAAAAGTCAATAAGGTACAATTTTGAAAACGTGCACATCCGCGCCTATCCTTCATAATGTATTAAACCTGGCCGTAGCACGCGCCGCAAAATGTCTTCACGTGTAAAGCTTCGTTGACGTAGTTCTAGGAAGTTTAATTCAAACTAATACAACAAAAATAAACAATTTATATAGTACATTTAACTTTTAAATGATGAATAAAATTTATCAAGTAATTCTTAGCAAAAGAGAAGTTGGTTAGATTAATCTTTAAGTTTCGCATGAACATATGACAACTTGATATTTCTAATTTGACGTAACATTTTGCAGTCCATCTAAATTAAGAAGTGCCGTTTGACGTTTGATACTTTTGAAGCCGAATTAAATTGGAATTGGCGTAACTCGCACAATTTCTTAAAACTGTGGAATTATGAAGCTATTTTTATTTTATCACAAGATGATTCCTAATGACTAAATCTGAATCTTTTAAACAAAGCAAAATAACCAATCTATTTATATATACAGGGTTACTGGTTAAGTGGACATAGAAAATTTAGGGGGTTGTAGTAGATTTCACTATTAAATACTATATCCCAAATTCAACCAATTTCAAGATATTGGACTTTTTATTATTTTATAAAAAAAATGAATTTTTGCCTAAACTTATATCCTCAATTTCTTCTTTTTTTACCTGTTTTTGTGTCGTTGATACATTCTTTTAAATTTTCATTACCAAAGTTGTAGATAACAAACTGGGCTGAAGTAGATGATAATAGAAAAATTAAATAAATTAAAATTGATTTTTTTTTTTAATTCATTTAACATTAAAATAATTATAAATAATTGTAATTTCGTTTTTTTTTTGTCATTTTCGTTTCACAATTTATGTATACGTTATTATTATTTTCATTTTTTTTTAATGGTAATTTTTAGTTCTAACGAAAATTCTAATTTTACGGCATGTATTGAAATGGTTGAATGACATTTTGAATTATTTGATATGTATGTACATAATAATGTATGATGTTTAAGAATTTACATATACCTGTATGTTTACTATAAATAAATACACTACACTTAAAGCAAAATAACTAATATATCTGGGATATTCCACTCAGTCTAAAAATATAAAAGTTATGAAAATCACACTTCTGGTTATGATAAAGAAAAAGATTAGTTAGCAGTAGAATTGGCACGATTATCTACAGTTCTGTTTTCGTGTGCACGAACATTGCGTCCAACCGATTAATATTTCCATGATTAATTCAAATCCAAGGACGGGAGACCAGATTTAAATTATACAAATTTGATGTTGCCAAGTTTTTTATACCAGAGTCAATGTGAATATTATTTTTTTGTCACGTTTCGTCATTCTCAGGCTTTCCATTGAAGATTTGTACATTATTGTGCAAATTTATCTGAAATAATCATCATCATCATCAACAGCCTCTAGGAGCCCACTTATAGACATAAGCCTCTCTTCAGAAAGGAGGTTTTGGCCTACTGGCCAGACGGGTTGGTGTAGGGTTTGTTTCAAGTTTTCCTTCTCTTTGTAGTGCTGTTTGCTCCGTAAGTCGACTCTTACGACACCCACATTATTAAAAAAAAAAACCGTTGCAACACGGACAATCGGAATTATCTGAAATATTTAATTTAAACAAAAGGGTAGCTCTTTAACTTCTTCGGTTGGCCAATTTATGGTGTTTTTCAGTAGTCGTTATGTCATATTGTTGAGCTGATGATGGAAGGATCCTTGACGTTTAGGAGTTAGAAAATAACTCTTTCAAATATCTAATTATGTATTGACCTTGTTTTATTCTTCAAGATATTTGTTAGGTGTTTGTGTCAGGCTACACTGAGATATGTGCACAAGAGAGTAATAAATGAGATTGCAAAACATTTGGAAAAAAAAAGTTTGCTACGCAATTATTTTCATGTTTGTTACTTCAAAACTCTTTTATTTATGGGTATTTGCGTTTAGTCGTCGTTATGTCATGTTGCCGAGCTGTGATGGAAGGGACCTTGACATCTAGGAGTTAGAGGATAACTCTTTCATGTATTGACCTTGTTTCTGTCTTTCAAGATATTTGTTAGGTGTCTGTGTTGGGTTTCAAAGATATGTGCACAAAAACCATTACTTATTTAGAAAAAAAAAATGTGGAAAGTAATGTGGAATACAATATATTTTCGGGTTTAAATGTACCATCTCACTACCTTATCTAAATAAAGTAACGGACTTATTAAACTATATTTAATATAATTTAACATACTACAGATTGTTATTATACAGTACGTAGTTTTGTAAATATTGTACTTACAAACATGCAAACATATCTTTGTATGTTTGTAAGTAAAATATTTACAATTAGTAAAATAGTACACTAAAAATGATAAAATAAATCCTTATAAAAAAAAGTTCAACCGACTTCAAACAATATTGGCAAAGAGCACTAAAAATTAAAAAATAATTACAAATCTAAGTAAAAAAATTATAATAAGTACCCTCAATTTAACAGGTACCTAACATTAAAATAGCAACAATCTCTTCTAGTCTGTTTGAAATCGGTACCAAGCCGAACAGGCTATTTTTTGGCTAGGCTAGGCCACGCCAAAAAACTATTTACATAGTGGTAGTTACTACATCCAAACAAGTAACCCTTGTTTTTGAAATGTCAAAATCCTGACCCGATTTTGCCACCTGAAGATTTATTTTCGTGACAAAAAATAGCATATTTCTCACCTTAAGGTAAAACTATAGGTATCTATTATAATATCATGAATCCGGAGAGTTTGATTGGTTGAACATGATAATCTCAGGATTTACTGATTCGAATTGAAAAAAATCTTTAATTGTTGTATAGCCCATGTAAGGCTATAGGCAATATAACATCACGATACGACCAATAGGAGCAAATCAATGAAAAATGATGCAAAAACCGGAAAAAAATAATCCTTTTGAGAGAGTTGATCAGACGAAGGTCAGCTAGTACAAAATAAACTTGAGAAATAATTAATGCCTTCCAGACCTATTTTCGTGATAACACTAATTGCAGTGACGGATGGCGTGAATTCGATTCCCACCCATGACATACGATGGTGTTATTACGTCTGGGTGTAATTTGTCTGAAATATGTATATGTATATATAGAAATATATAAGTATGCCTAATTGAATTCTAGGGGCCATAGTACAGACTCTACCTAATTTTAGTTATGATTATAATATTACACGTGCCTATTGACATATCGCCAAAATAGCCGATATGCGTGCGGTTATAAACGTAGCGTAATTTATTTACACAGAAAAGATAAACAATTATTTATTGATATAATTCTTATCTATTTATTGCCTACGTGAAGTGTGTAACGTAAATTGCAAAAATGCTAAACGAAAGGGGTATGCTCGTTTACTAAAAAGAAGAACGAAAGAAAATGCGTTGCGTACATATTTAAGTAAAATGGCACATGCCTACATGTTATATAACTGTTTCACAGTGATTACAAACACATCCATACGAAGATACCATATTTACATTTAGAATCAGTTTAATCTGAGCATACATCAACATTTATGGATACAGACTCACTAAAAAACAAACAGACACATTTAGTTTTCTTACTTGGGCATTGTCAAACCTTCTCCGTAGAGATCGGCGACCCTAATTCACTTTACTTATTAATTGTAGAGTAAAATAGCCAGCGAACGGTACTACAATATCCGCGGGCTATTTGCTGCGATTTGACGTCTTTTGTGTGACTGGTTTAATGGATACTGTATTGATCCCGACTCCTCTAGATAATTTAAAAATATATATCTTACAGTCCTATAAAATATACACATACAGACAGACACACATAAAATATACATATATATAGTCTATATATTTAGTGTATAGGCAATCCCTAAGGTAGGGGGCCAAAGATTTTAATATTGTAATGTTTGAAAAGAATAGACAGGCGTTCGATAGGCGTGTACTATCTTCTTTGGTTCTTAGCTTCTGTGACTTCGAATGCAAGTAGAAATCTGCCGCTGCCTTTAAATCCTGTGAAAAGTATGAGTATCGTTAGAGAGATATCTCTAACGTTTGTATTATTTCTATTTCAGGTCAATTCTCATACAGTTCAAGCGGGGTCCGCATCAGTGTATCTTCAGAGCCTCATGATGAAGACTCTACTGACGCTGAGATCTCCAAGATCGACTTCTCACAACATCAATACGAGGTAATTAACTGACTGTTAAGTAACCCATTCTTACAAGAATCTAGCGAGTCTGTTATGTAACTTAAATCCTCTATAGTTTATTTACAACTAAGAATAGAAACTACAAAAAGTGCAAAGTAAAGTTTATAGCGTTAACTTCCCGAGTCTCACCTTAAAATTATTTATTTGTCAACAAATTCTTAAAAAATCGCCCAAAACATTACCATGATTTTAGGAAATAACAGATGTATTATGATTATTACCTACTGAATAAACAAAAGAAAGAAAACGAACTAAGAAAAATCAGAGAGATGTTCAGTAAGGAAAAGCTAGAGTTATAACTATTTTGCTCTTTGCAATAAGAAGTATAAAATAATCATCAACAAGCCATTAATAATCCACTTCTGGACATAGGCCTCTCTTTACCAAAATACAATATGTCGCTAAATACAATTTAAATATCAATGAAAAATATACGTCAAGAAATACATAGTTGAACTTCGCGATAGGCCGTCTTTTATTCTCCTACTGTAAACAATTGCTAACTCTATAGAAAACCACAGACTAAACATACAATTATTGGGTTTCAGGTTAACATGCGTAACAAAAAGAAACGATCTGCGAGCGGAACGCACTGTGAACTACCGAATAATGAACGCGAGCGGCCCATGTCTTGGGAGGGTGAACTCTCAGACTCCGAAATGGTTATAGACACTAGTGTCAATAACGGTAAGTGGTCATTTTTTCCTGGGCAAGGCCTTTGAGTTTAGTATATTTATAATATTTGCCTGAATATTTTTCCCAAAGAAAGTCCCGTTATGGACATAATAATATGACAATCAGATGCAAAAATATGTTTTTCAAATAGTATTAGAAATTAGCGATTCAATAAAATCAAGCTCTGGTTTTATTCTCTGATGATTATAATGTCAATATTTCAATTTATTTTTGATACTTATATTTACGACACTGATAAAGATTATATGATTGTGAATGAATGTTTTTATTAATCGCAGACGAAAACAGCAGCTCCCTGGATCTCCAATCGTCACGAGATTCCATCGATACTCTTCGAAATGTGACTATCAAGACAGAACCACATAAAAACGATGGCTTCCAAGTTGTGGATGAACGTGTATTAGATTTAAAGTACAGCGCGCCTCTGCAACCGCACCAGAGGAGTCTTAGTATGAACAGGGTGGGTACCATCTGTACTAGTCTTGTGAGCAGTCAGTGATGCAGAAGTAGTGAGTTCAAGTTCCACACAGGATAAATAATTGTGTTATGAGCACGATCATTTGTTCTGGGTCTGGGTTTAATTTATCTATAATTGTAGATATTTAGAAATAAATTGGTATGTTAATCAACAGTTTAATCTTTTTTTTTTACGCGTGGAGACCCGTCACCCCACCGGGGTTTGCGGTGGGTGTTGTATCGGAATCGGACCGACTACCACCACATGGTGTGCCACTCTGCGCTTGTAATAGGAAGGCTCGGGGAACAGCTGTTACTAAGATACCCGGACCCCTCCTCCTCCCCCGAAACGGCCCGTAGCGAGAGATCCCCTCCGATGACTGCAATGAGGATTCGGCAAAACCGGCAAATTAAAAGCGTGTGTTGAGCCGAGTCCTCACTGCAATCGCAGTGGTGACAGGCGGGACTCAATTCCCTCTTAGCGACCGAGTGCAGGTACTTTCCGAAGCAGCCGTGCCCGGAAAGGACCTTCGTCCGTCAGCCATCCGCCGATATACTTCGGCGAGTACTTCCGCCTCCAAATCCCACGGGGGTGTTCCGGACAACGCGCACGCTTCCGTCGACACGGTGCGGTAACCGCGTATGTCTCTAACCGCCAATATCCTCTGAGGGCGCCAGAGGCGTCAATGCCATTTACTGGACAGCAGTTACCATAGTTCTGCCTAGTTTGATATCAGGCCACCATGTGTCGGATGTGATTTTAATATGTTATTTAAAAAGTCAGAACTCAGAAGGGCAAAATACTTAGCAGTTTTTTTTATCATATCATTAATTTTTATGGACTAAAAATATTAGCCTACGATGTTGGCCTCACTATGTCTGCTGACCTTGTTTAAAATATTTTATTTAATCTATTTCAGATATCAGTACTAACAGATGCTACGTCACTATCACTAACGAGAAGGCCGTCATCACCTACAAGCAGTGCAAAGTCCTTGGCGCTGAGCGACCAAGGTTCTGTTCCAATGCCACATGCAGCTCTAGACCAGGTCCACAATCTAACCATCAAGAAGGAGAACCAGCTGTCTGGTAAGCCACTAACCACTGGATTGTGTTATGAAAAATTAATTGATGTTTCACATCATCATCAACAGCCTTTATAGTAGTAGAGCTGGCAGCAATTTTTGGGTAGATATTTCAGGCAAGCTGAAAACTTGTCCTATACCTCCCCTATTATACACCAATACGGAAGTGCAAAACCTAGCTGGTGTGTAGCGGGGCCAAATCAACTCCTAATTTATTTTTCTGCCAAAAATATGTTTGAGGCAGTTTGAAATTTTTATATGTTGTAGTTTAATGTTAGTAGTGTGTTGTAGAGAGAAGAGTTTTAAGAGCTGAAAAAAGGGCAAGACAATAAAGTCGGCCTTTTTTGCCTTTGCCAGACGGGTGCAAAATTATTTAGCAAAAAAATATAAAAAATGTATTACTACAACAGGGTATCGTCCAGCAGTTAACTTTTAGGGGGTTGTCGATGATGATTATGATGGTGCAACTAGAAAATCCGACAAAGGTCCCATCTACAGATCTTGGATATCGCCTAGTATTTGGGTTGTGGAGGTTTGCCGGCAATCTCTCCACGTTATAAAATCGAAGTTCAGCCGTGTCGTAGCAGACTGAAAGTTGACTCCAACCTAGTTTGGAAAAAGGCTCGGAGGATGATGATGCAGATGAAACTTCAAAATTTTGTTATTTTACATATATCGTCACGATCGATAGAATAATGTCTGTTTTGAAAAAAATACGAAATTCAGTTTTTACTATATTTGAATACTACATTGTTTGAATATTACTACTAAATTCAATAAAAAATTATGTGCATTTTAGATTTTAAATTATTCAGTGTTTGTTTGATAGTCGCTCAAAGTAAAATGAAGTATGTGGTTTTTCTAGAAAATTGTATTATTATTACTTGTTATTTTTATTGCAATTAAAAACAAACCCTATTTTTCACTTGTATGCCAATTTTCATGATTATACGTTTAGAAATAAAAAAGTTATGTCAAAAAAATACCATAATTATTTGAAATGGCGGCCCTATAAAGTTCAAGAAATGTTAGATTCGACACTATTCTACGACAATGACGATATACTCTTAAAATTACTTCTTATCATGTTTTTTCTTACATCCATAGAGCTAAAATGTGAGCAGTCAGTAGGCATGGACAAGCTGATCGGTGCTTTACACGGATCACCGCTCCTGGGCCGTCTACCTCGCGTCCAATCCAGTGCCAGTACTGATTCGGCCGTACACTCAATGTATACACACAGGTAAGCCTAAATTAGAATATTTTTGCCGTTATTTCAAAAAAAGAAGTGAAAAAGAAAATGAATAACTCAAATAGTTTCAGAATTCGGCGACAGTTGAATAAACTATAACCATTAAACGGGCTTACTTTCAGGTCAAGATGGTGCAAGACCATTGTTGTGAAGTTACACTACCAAGGTCGATGTGTAAACATTCACACACATGTGATGATAATGATGATGATGACGTGTGCAAAAAGTAAACTTAAAAGTCAAGATTATTGTTTTTAGAAGAGTAAATAACTTAACACTTTAAGAATTATATCTATAACTAATCATTTCGAAGGCTTAAATAATGCCTTTTGTTTTCTTTGCTTAATGTGGTCCATTATGAGGCTGTGTTATATTACACGGCTATCTGATTCCAAACTAGGCAGAGTTTGTACTATGGTAACCATACAGCTGTAAACTTAATTATATTTTATTAAAGACAAATATAATATGGATAAACTACACCCAGACACAAAACAAAGATCTGTGGTTATCGTCTGCGGTATTTCCGGACCGATACGACCTTCAAACCTTCAAGAAAAGAGCGTACTCCTTCCTAAAAGGCCGGCAACGCGTTTGTGACGCCTGAGTTGTAGACGTTCATAGGCGGCGATAGTCACTTTCCATCAGGTGACCCGTCTGCTCGTCTGCCCCTTTAACATAAAAAAAAACAAAGGATCGTGCTTCTCAAGGTCATCTTTTAAACCGAATCAGATCGATGCTCGATCGATCGATCGTCTTAAAATTTGCCATTGTATGTGTTGATCTATCTATGACTTCAGAGTATTCATAAGAGAGAGAAAAAAAAAATTTTTTTTTATGAAAGAAATAAATTTTAACTTTGACTTTGAATCATCAACTGCTGAGCTAGACGGCTTAGCAGTTAGGACCACTAATTACTTGAATATTTTTATTACAATCTTAGTGAAATGAAAAATTCTCAAAATTAATTTAAATGGTTATTTTCATATTTAGAATTTAAATTCTAAATATGAAAATCACCATTCAATAACCAAATCGAAGTGCAACGAAAGTTTTCTTTTTATCCAGCGTATACAGCAGTCCTTCAGCCAGTCCAAGAGCGTCCCGCCATTACACACCTTCTTTGTCGCGTAACAATAGCGATGCCTCACACTCATCCTGTTACTCGTATAGCTCAGAGTTCTCGCCGACACATTCTCCAGTACAGGTAATATTTATTTCTTACATTAAATTAGATCGAATGTTTGATATTTGAACCTACTTTAATATCTTCAACTGAGAGGTCATCGAAAGGCAAAGTTGTTTCGTTCGAGGCCTCAAAATTGCTTGAGTCTTCAATGTTGACGAACTCAAAAACTTAAAACAACAATACTTTATTATTAGATTTTTACATAAGAATAGGTAGTTAAACAACCTATTGTTGACCTTAAAATCAATATAATTTTCCGTTGACTCAGGGTCGTCACCCAGGGCTTTTATACCGTGAAGCACCGGCAGCGTACGACACAGTGCATGACGACGAACCTGACGCTCCAGATGATAGGCTTCATCATCACCAGGGTATCAGTCGGCAACAGCTTATAAATAGGTAATATATTTCTAATTATGCACATATCACTTCGCGCAAGATTCATTTTAGCGCCATACAACTACTGCCATCTTCCTTAACTGGCCAATCGAAATGAGTTTTTAATTGCGAATAGTAACATATGTCACTAATAGAGTCGAAATTCTCGTTGTCGTTAACTAAAATAAGGTGATTTAAAATAAAAAAAAATATAATGTATTAATGAACATTTTTCTGCCCACAGTCCGTGTCCGATATGTGGTGACAAAATCAGCGGTTTCCACTATGGGATTTTCTCGTGCGAATCCTGCAAAGGCTTTTTCAAACGTACTGTACAGAACAGGAAGAATTACATGTGCCTAAGAGGCGGGAACTGTCCGGTCACAGTCACCACCAGGAAGAAGTGTCCAGCTTGTCGGTTTGACAAGTGTCTGGGATGTGGAATGAAGCTTGAAGGTACATTATACTTTTTAACCGAATTTACAGGATAATTTTAGTCGGTTATGCATATTATCATCAGCGGAGATAGAGACATCCATTTTTTTTTTTGTAAAATAAACTTGTATAATACATAATATGTAGGTACTCACAAATTTGCCACTTTGCCTTTGTACATCATAAATAAATATATTGAAAGTATCATTTCGTAAACATTCGATTTCTGAACAGGATAATCTCAACTAAAATAGTGTTTTAGAGTTCACTCTTTGAAGAATGATACAGGCTAGTAGCTTATAACATAATGCTACTCTTAGCTGCTATGTTGTAATGAGGGGGAGGAGGTAAGCTGCGAAGTACTGTCAATGACTTCATTGGTACACAAATAGATGTTTCGAGTTTATTGTTTACAGCGATTCGTGAAGACAGAACACGCGGAGGTCGCTCTACGTACCAGTGCTCGTACACGTTGTCAGGCGCCGCGTCCACTGGCTCCTTACTGTCGGCGCACGCGCCCACCACTCTGCGGCACGCGTCTAGCCTCACTTGCGTATGTACTATTCTCTACCTTGTGGACTACTCGATAAGTGTCAAATTTGTTTGTAGTTGTATATTGATCTTGCTATCTATAAAGTCAGATCCCTTGTCGTGTTGTGTCGTGAATCCCAGACAAGACGAAATCATATAAATCTACAAACACCTGGTGACAATATACAAGGTGGTTTTATAAGCCGAGGGGTTAAGGAGTAGACGGTCACCTGATGGTAAGTGACTACCGCCACCCATGGATACCTGCTACTCAAGAGTCACAAGTGTGTGCCCCTCTTTCAGTCTTGCCCTCTAGAATCAGGTCGAAAGTTTCAGTAAAAGATTGAAAATGTGGGCATGGATAACACACCTATATTTCGCAAATAACGTTTTTGACACTACTGTTTTCTATCGGGGACATTTAATAGACAATATTATGGTGTTACTAAGTTATTTTCTAATAAAACGAACTCGTTACTAAATTAACCGCTCCAAGAGTCTTACTCAGGTCCACGGCAGCATTCAAAGTTAAGTGCTCATTTGTGTTAAAAAAAAACAAGAGGCATTTATAACATTGCATTTCGTTATATCCATTTTCTTTTAATAACACACAATTTAATAGAATGTTAATAATGTTTATAGGTAAACGGCCCGGGGTCCTATAGTAGCAGAGGAGAGTCGAGTAACAGCCAAGTAACGCCGGATATACCGCCATTATTGCAGGTAAGTAAAACTTTCATTATGTATTTTTCTAATTATGGTTTTCATTATACAAATCTCATTTCTAATATTTGGGTATAGCCTAAATATCTTCTGTTCTTTTGTCTATTGTTTTATTTGTTTTTTTACTTCAAACAAAAAACTTCCAAATGCACCTACTACTTCAGGTTCCTTTTAGCGAAAATAATATTATTCTACATTTTTAGGCTAAAAGTTCACAATCGGAGTACCTAGTTATAGCAATGAAAGAAATACTGCCTTAAATCTATCGAGGAACCCTTAACCACATTGAAATGAACCAAAATGTATACTTTCTAGGAAATAATGGATGTGGAACATCTATGGCAATACAACGAGTCGGAACTCAGTCGGTTGGGCAAATCCACGGGCAGCCCCTCCGCCAACCCGCTGTTAGCCGCCAGCGGCATCACCGCGCACAACTCCAGTCCAGACTTCTTGGCCGATCTGTGCAACATTGCTGACCACAGATTATACAAGATTGTCAAATGGTGCAAGAGTTTGCCACTGTTTAAGAATATATCGGTAAGTACCGGTATTTTGCAGTGAATATTGGATTTTAGTTTTTATGATAGCGGTTAATCAGTTAAAATAACGGGATTTCAGAAGAGCTGAGGTTTTCTATTGAAATGTAATGAAGCATTAAGGGCTCTTCAATGCGTTCTTAAGCTTTTCTAATCGTCTTAAAACATCTCTCTCCATTCTAAGCTGCAATTATTAAACGGTATTCTGAGTATCTTTGTATATCAAACTTAGTTTTATTACGTACATTAAACATAAGATTATCCAAACAGAGAAGCTAAAAACTGTTATTCTTACCGATGTTTAATACCACTTGAGCGGCAGTATAAAATTTAATAGCCCGGATATTGGTTAGCCCAGGTACGAGAACTGCCATAACTGTTCAATAAGAACTTACTAGAACAAAATACAAATAAATTGGTGCAAATTGGACCATTTAAAATTCATGTATCGAAAATTCTTTTGACTGATTCTTTCGGTGGTGCAGAGGTAGCGTATGCGACTGCTTTGGTGTAGTCTCAGGTTCGATTCGCAGATCGGACCAAATGTTTGTATGATCTGCAAATATTTGTTTCGGAGTTTGGTTGGTTTCTATATATAATAAGTATGTATTTACAAAAACAAAGTTTATAAGTATTCTATCAGTCAATCTAGCTTTCATTCTACAAGCTCTGTTTAGTTTGAAACTAGATGGCGTTGTGTGTCAGATGTCCGAAATATTATTATTAGTGTTGGTTACGTTATGATTTCGCCAGCAGAAGAATTCTTTTCGTGCAATCTGGTTATTATATTGTTATTCTTTGCACTCGGTTACATATTCTCTTGAATATTTTGTACATTACTCAGTTCCCGGTTCTATGCAAAACAATTTTACTCAAACTAAACCGCGTATTCTTCTTCTGAAACTTGTCATTTCAACTGCTTATGTAACTTTTTGTTTACAGATCGACGATCAAATCTGTCTGCTGATAAATAGCTGGTGCGAGTTGCTGGTGCTATCATGCTGTTACCGGGGGGTGAGCACACCGGGGGAAGTCAGGGTCGGAGGAGGGAGAGGCATCACGCTACAGCAGAGTGCTAAGTACGTTTAACAAACAAACATTGTATTTTTTTTTATATAATGTTATTAATATAAATCATTTAAGTAGATTAGACATTATCCGTGTGGTGACGGATTAAGAATATAAATAAGAGCCGATTACGCATGAGAACAGCACTGCCAAGTGAAGGAAAACTTGAAGCAGGCCCAAGGAGAGGCCTATGTCCAGCAGTGTACTGTACTGTTAAAGGATGATGATGAAGTATTATATAGGATTTTATAAGCGATTCTCAAACTCTTGTTAGCGCCTCTTGCCGCCTTATCTCTTCTGTGGGGCTAGCGTCGATCCCGTACATGATTTTCATGGTTTCTACTGAATATTTGTCATCAGGTTGGGTTTGACACCTTGCATAGAGCGCATGTTGAGCTTCACGGACCATTTGAGGAGACTACGAGTTGACAGATACGAGTATGTCGCTCTTAAGGTCATCGTACTTCTCACTTCCGGTAAGTTTATATCTACTATTCAATATTTATATTTATCTTAAATATTTAAAAATAATATTTATTTTCGGACAGTGATACACACAACGCCATCTAGTTTCAATCTAAGCAGAGCTTGTACTATAAAAGCTAGATTGACCGATAGAATGCTTATATACTTTTTTTTTCTAAATACATACATATCTCACTTCGAAACAAATGTATAAAATATAACAATAAAATATATAAATGTCTTTTCGTATAGACGCGCCGGATCTCCGCGAAGTGGAGAAAGTACGAGCATCTCAAGAGAAAGCTTTAGCTGCGCTACAAGCTTATATCGCGACACATTCTCCTGGAACTCCTGCCAAGTTTGGAGAGCTGTTGCTTCGTATACCTGAGCTGCAAAGAACTTGCCAGGTGACAAATGACTTTAATTTAAATTTTAAAATATATATCGTAAAAAGATAGCGTTAACACTTATAGCGAAATGTTCAGCTAAAAATGTAGCTTCTGTTGTGGAGTTATTACATTATTAGTGGGTCATATTTGACCCATTGTAAAAAATAGCAATCGTTTGTCATTCCCATACTAACCTTCCTTCCTCCGAACCTTTTCCCAAACTAGCTTAGGGTCGGTTTTAAGTCTACTACTATACGGCTGAACTTCGATTTAAAACTAAATTGGTAGTAGTAGTAGAATCTATCACTTATTAATTTCACTCCTTGTTTCTTTTGCAGTTTTTCATGCAAGTCGGGAAAGAAATGTTGAATCCTGCCAACAAAAGCAAAGACGGTGATGGACCAAGTTTCAACTTGCTCATGGAACTTCTACGCGGCGATCACTGACCTGGACATGTCTGATCTTAACGCAAAGGTCACAGTTAAGAAGTCTTCGATGCCCAAGGTCAATACACCTCAACATAACCTCTTAGGTTATGCTTTAACGTCATTCATTGCTCAAGAAATAATTAAGTGAATTCTCTCTACAATGACATAAAGGACTGAAATGATATAACCTCTATTTTATATGTTTTCTATACGATATCATCAGTCATTCAATCTACCTAGTCTATGTATGTTATAATGTATTTTTTTGACCGCCATTATTACAAAACAAATAATGTCAACTTGACATAGACAAAATTAAACATGGAACATGTAATGACACTTTTTGGCCTTGATTAACAAAGACTGCGTACAATATCATTGTCTAAAAAGTTTTATCATTATCGAATTCGATAGATAAATCGTATAGTATATACATAATATAACTTTTTATTCATTGTATTTGATATTAAATAATATTTTTTTGTTTTCAACACATCAAAACAGTGCCAACATAGCTAACAATATTGCATTTAATTTACATGTCAATAAATATTTAGCTCATTAATAAATAGTTCTCAGAATATCTACTTGAAGTATTTTATAAACATATTATTATACAAAATGTAGCTTAGGGCAACAACTTGTGTCTTCCGAAAGTCGAAGTCTGAAGTCCATCATCTGCCTACCCTTATCCCAATTTTATTTGTTTCGGCGTAGTATGTATGATTCTGCCATTCTACGCTATCATTCGTCATCTCACTGTTTACTCCCTTCCCAGCCATATCTTCACTCACAGAGTCCATCCACCTTTTCTTTGGTCTTCCTCTTCTCTTGTACCCTTTAACTCCCTTACCTAACACTTTCTTCGCTACATTTTCCTCATCTCTTACATAATATGAGACTAAAGATTATTCTGAATATTAATATTTTTCTGACTTCAATGAATTAACAACATCTTGTATCAGGGTAACTTCTGAGTATCGTGATTTCATTTGCAACCAATTTTCATTCTGAAACGTGATATATAAGTACCTTACACACACTAAACAAGTGCTTAGTGGCAGTATTGCCAATTCTTTAACTTGTTTTTCTACCAAGTTTTGTTTAACATGAAATCTCCAAGTGACTGGGTTTGATTTCCATCCGTATTTAAAAAAAAACGTATTAGAATCATTTCGTACATAAAACTTAAAAGGTTTTGGCCCAGGCTTTAAATGTTTAAATTTTGGAAAAAAATCACATGCGTTGCCTTGAGCTAAAATTCATATAAACTATTAACACATACTGCCACAGCAATTTTTATGTGTAATTTTAACCTTGTATTAAGGACGCATTTGGAGATGTTACTGATTTGAATGACAAAATAACTTATGAATGATTTTAGTTTGATGATTATTTTCAATGACTATAACATAGCTTTTGTGTATTTAAAATATGAGTTTTTGTGTTTTTATTTTAAATAATAACCAACAGAGAGATGCCTTACTCTACAAGGATACACTGATGATTATAAATACCTATTTTAATTATTATTATATATTTTGCAGTTCAAACAGCAACATCGCAAACACAGTCTATAAAGCGAAGGGCACAATTCACGATTAGTTAATCTAATGTTAATTAGGCTAATCGAAATTAAGTGCGATTTTTATATGGCAGCAATAGCTTTGTTTTATGTAAGGCTGGCTTTACATTTAAAATTAAAATTTAATCTTAAGCATTTGAAAATTAATCTTGCCTTTGCATTTTTATTGGAAAACGTATTTTTATATGAGAATTATTATACAAGTCAAGTATAATTATAAAGTGAAATAGGTGTTGTCATAAAAAAATATAAAACATACCTTTATGGCACATAGTTGTAACTTTTGAAGGAACAGCATGTTTTTGGTCCACCGCAGACCACACTTGAAACTATGTCTTTTGAATACTCAATTTTTTATTTATAGCTCTTCTATAATATAATCTTGACATGAATGAAAAAATTGATATATTTGAAAGTAATTTTTTTTTTTGATGCACCAACTTTAATTATTTTCTGTCGATAATTTTTGTTCAAAATCATGTTAGATTACATTGCTGGCTAATATGTTTGTAAAATTAAAGTTAATGCGTATTAGTTAGTTATGGACAACGAATCATATAATTTTACCCTGCATGGTAGACCAGTTTCGTCTACTTTTACTCTTGAACTTTTATTGACAATGTGAATTTGTTATGAGACGTAGAGGAATTTACGAAAATTACAACGATTTTTACCTATTTTGGTATTATAAGTTTTTTATACATAGTAGGATACTTTGGATTTATAAAGTGAAACGGTCTGTTTCAATATGAACCCGTTTATATATAAATGTGTTTGTAATCATTGCCATTTTGATTTAGTTACTTAATGTTAGTTTTAATGTTGTTAATATGTGCAGCTTAGTGTACGAGTGTAGGAGTTTCCTGAGGGTGAAACTTTCAGGATTATATCTAGAGTAGTTTTAGGTCAGTTTTTATGAAAAACTCATTTTTAAGTTATGATTTATTTGTTCTTAAATGCAATGATATCTATGAATACAATGATATCTATGTATGCTATAAAATGAGCTCTGTTCTAGTAGATTCTATATTATTATTTTTTCATTCCATGTTTAAATAATATTTATTTCTGTAAGTAAATCTTTTCAGCTATTTTTACATGTCGGACTTTACAGCTAGATGATTAAATTTCGAAGTGCCTGTGTTTTAGTTATACATAGAAATTATTGTACTAAACAATTAATTTTATCAACATGCTTTTTGTTCGGTTGCGCTATTCGTGTGGTGACTGACTACTGGAGTGTCATCACACCTATTCATCCAATGGGTGTCGTAAGAGCCGACTAAGGGAACAAACTACGCAGGACGACAGCACTGCTAAGAGAAGGAAAACTTGAAACAAACTCTATACCAACCCGTTTGGCCAGCGTGGTATAGTAGGCCAAAACCTCCTTTCTAAGGAGAGGCCTATGTCCAGCAGTGGACTGTTATAGGCTGTTGGTGGTGTTGGTGAAAAGTACAAGCACCACGCATCTGAAAGTGGATACGACTGACTGTTAATCCATGCAAACAGAATAGAGTAACAAACCATATACCAACACGTCTACAGCGTGGTATAGTAGAACAAAACCTTCTTTCTAAGGAGAGGCCTATGCCCAGCAGTGGACAAATTAAGGCTGTTGATGATAATGATGATTTTTGTTCGGTGTTGGTGCAATACTTAGCATAAAGTATCATGGATATTTTTATAAAGCATTTTATAATATTATTCAATTATTTTTATTTTTTCTTTATGCTGTCATTGCACAATATATTTTTTTTCGAACTGATTGCGTCAGTTTTATAAACCAGTCATTCACTGCCGATTTATATAATAAGAAATTGCTGTAAGCAATTCTGTATTTTTATTGCAATACTTATTATTTTTATATAAAGAATATATTCTCATTTAAGTATATTTTTAGACTTAGTATTAAATTCAGTAATATAGATAATATTATATAACATAGAGTTGCCTTAACATTGAATAAACAATGTTACTTATTTAAAATGTGTTGAGGTAGCTAATCCTGACAGTTTTATTACGAAAGAGTTCTAAGTTTTTTACGGGATGTTTAAATTTGAAATTCAGATAAATGGAAGATCGGATGATAAGAAGGAATAAAACCCTTTACAAAGCGAGTTATATTTCGTAAGTAAGCCCGCTTCGCCACAATAGTAACAATAATTATAAAATATACTCAACGTAAATATGATTTAGTGAGTACAATTCATGACTCGATTAGATATTTAGATTTATTTTAATTTTTGATGTAGGACCCGTTGCAATCAACCTTCTCAACAAATTACGTACTACATTCCATATAAACGTACGTGTCTTACTTATAATGGCATAAATATATATATCCTCTTTTGTTCAATGGTCAAGTCCCAATAAAACGAAAGACGTAAAACAAAGAATAATATACAATATAGTACGTAGAAATAAATATAAGACGGGCACAAGTACTTCAGTTAGTTTAGTTAATATATCAGAGCTAATAGTTTAGAATGAAATATATTTTCATATGTGCCACACAAGTATGTATTAGGACATTCACAATAAATACTCAAATGTGAATAATATGTAAAAAGAAAGAGAAAAAAAAATTAATAATAGCAAAGTGTGTAGAATACCTAATTAGTTGGCAAAAACGGGCACCGAGGAGTCACAATCGTGAACGAGTGTTGCCAACTCTCAAATCGTATATTTTTAATTATTTTCTCGCCATGTAAAAACCATAAACACAGACGATTCAGAGACGTATTACTGAATCGTCTGCCTGGATGTTCGTTTTACTATGTATTTTATAAACTTTGTCGAAAATACTTTCAAAAAGTTGTGTAATAAATCAATTATTTGTTATCTAGGTAGTTCAGTCACTGATTGTATGAAAACATCCATTGAAAATAATTGAATACAATCGAAATAGAACCCAACAAATAATTGTTTGATTCTATTTCGATTGTATTTGGAGGAATTTAGATTGTATGTGACTGCATTTTTTTTGGTAATATTTTGTCAACAAAAATAAAGCAAGTGGCATCTATTTGTAGTTATTTAGACTCTTTACTGAACTGATAATTTAAGTACGCTAGATTATATTTTTATATTCAGTAAAGTAACAGGTGTGCGTGAACCGATGAGGGAGGTATGTTCGAGGTCCTAATAATTTTTATATTAAAAATTACAAGGAACGTAAGTTTGGTATGGCGTCCATGATTCACTGTTATTAATATGCATAAGTATTATAGTGATATTGTATTCTTCTTTATTTTGTAGAATTATAAAGTTTTTTTTTATATATAGCGCAAAATGAATAAATATGATTTTGATTTATAATTGATTTGTATTGTATTATTTCTATTCCTAGATAGATAAATACTCGCAAGATACATAAATGACAATGAAAACTAATTATAAGTAGTTTTCAGAGTTAATGTATTATGTAGAA